CGGCCAGTCTGGCGGGGCAGAGAACGGCAGATCACCGAGGTTTGGAGGGACGGAGAGCTGAACGCGGTCGTGGTGGGATGGTCACATGGAGCCCGGCGGGGGATGTGCTAAGATTAGCGGTCGCTTTTAGTCGTTAGCGAGGGGCTGCTCAGCTTCCAGCGAAGGCACGCCTCTTCATGCTGCTTCACCATGAAGGCGCCAAGGTCGGCTTCTCTGGCTGAAAGCCTCACGTGAGTCGCCCCCTGTGGCCTTTAGACGGTAATGCTACGGCAACATGTCACCCGGCTCGGAATTCCTGAGCTGTATTCCATTCTGTTTTATTGCCTGGCTTCAAAACAGGGTGCATATGCAAAGCAGGACTCACGCACAGGCCAACCTGGGCTGTAAGCCCAGGGCCCCGAGTTGTAGTCGACCCAAGGTGATTTTTCTGGTGGTTACAGCAGCGTTTTATGCTGTAGGGAGGGCCCCTACAATGACTTTAGCCCAAAGCGCTAATATGAAATTCTTCCAACCTCTGGGGGTAGATTTGAATTTTTTATATCAAGTGTTTATCACTGCATATTCTAGCAATTGCAGTTGTATTTTTTTTTTGCATAAAATAACCTTCTTTAACCACTGATGTTACTAAAACATTATCTGGGCAAAGAAATAAATAACACAACCTCACAGACATAATGTAATTATGAATATTTAGCACTCTGCGTGCAATCTGCATTGCATGTCCATAGCCCGCTTTAAATCTTAACCAATGTAGAGCCAAACCTGAAAAAATCTCATTATCCTTTGGAAAACAAATTAGGCACCAGACCAACAAAACAGAGGAGGAGACAATGACTCAACTCCACCTGCATCCACACTCAAACGCCACACTGCCTTAATGGAAATCTCAGCACAATGAATACAAAGCTTTCAACCAAAACCTGAAAGGCACGTCCATGACATCAAGTGGGAAAAGAAGGCAGTGGGGAAAAAAAATCATCACATTAATAAATAATAACAATAAACCTTTTTTTGGTGCTCCTCTGCACTTTGAGAGGCGATCAGAGAGCAGGCCTCCTGCTTTCACAGAAGGAAAGGAGGGCTCGCGTGCTCATTATGCCACCTTTACAGCATCACTCAGATTCAGTGTTACAAACCAGAGAAAGAGGGACACTCACAGTGAGAGTCCAGCTAACGCCCTGCTAACTCATAGTGAGCAAACTCAGAGAGTGCACCCTGCTAACTCACAGTGAGATGGATACGCTAAGTCAAACCTTGGCTTCCTTCCACAAACGTGGATCACTAACTGTTAGACACCTACCTTCAGAATAAAAGCCAAAATTTTGACCTCGCTGGCATTTTAATATTCTGTAGATTTTGGGGCACGGGGTTTCTTTTCTCTGCACAGGCAGCATACAGTTTGACCGGTTCACGCCAGAAGCGTTGGGCTGTCGCACCTCAGTAGCTGGATGAAAACAGCCCAGGTTGATTCAGCATACAAACAATTAATGACCTTCCATGATGGCGGCAGGGAGGCTCAGCAGGTCACACTGCAGAGTCACACCTCCGGATTTCTGAATTCATGTCACCTCTGCGTGTGCAGAGCGCTTGGCCTCTTTGTCTGTGTATTCATCCCGTAACAGACCAGAATCCCTTTCAGAGCCTTCCTGGGGAAGTATTTTTAGCCAGAATGTCTACAATTTTTTTAATTTTAAGCACAGCACCTTAAAAAAGCCAAAAATCTGTCACTGGATGTGAGCAGTAAAATGCAGATTTTTATCATGCTAACACTAAGGAGAGAGCTCATGCTACACAAACGCTAAAACACTCACTCTTACCCATGCTCATGCCACGGCCTGCCATTACTATGGTAACAATAACGAGCCCCTTCTTACTATAGGGACACAGTATTATGAAAAATCAGCTGCTTCAGAACTAAGATCAGTCTTGACAAAGCTGCTGCCTACAGCCCGAACACAAGGTCTGGGTCATTATTCCTGAAATCTCACCTTCATTGTAATTGCGAAACTGTTTGTTTTGTTTGTGACACACCACCTGCGTCAGCTAGCCTGCACAAAATAGGCGACATTGTAGCTTTTCCCTGGGCCTCGTCATCCAAGGCTCACAGCGTGTAACATGACAACCGCAGACAACCTGACGCCCGAAGCGTGTAGAACGAAAAGGAACACGTGTAAAAGGCAACGCGGCATGACAGACATGGTCTGGGAAGATCCGAGCAAGTCCAGCAATCGCGGCAAATCCAGCTCGCTGCTGGCAAACTTAAGCGAGACACAGAAGCCCGGAAACTCGGCAGGGGCCGAGCCCAAAAGACTGAGTGCTGTCACACTGGCAGCACGTGACATTAAACCTCACCACATGCACGCCCCCCCCCCCCACTCCCCACTTCCTGGCAGAAGGACAAACACCACACGAGCGGTCAGAGCCCAGCGCGATGAACAGATATTTTCATGAGCAATTTTTGAAAGGGGGGGGGGGGCGGGGGGAATGCTTGCGTGTTTTGCTTCCCCCAGCAGCTCCGCTCCATGAGCTGACGCCTTGCAGACTCGCTTTGGCTGCCCGGCCCAGACAGACCCTCCCCAGCCCTGGCACCTCACTTCAAAGGCCGGGGGGGAGGAGACAGAACATGAGGAAAGGCTCGACCCTCCATCTCGTTCATACCGCTAGACGGGCAGGAACGTTGCGTCCTGTAACAGTCGTCCGCAGGGGCCACGGGGCCCCTCCGTCCACGCTGGGATACACAGCGGCACTTTACTGACGCTGAGGCCACGTTCTCAGTCCGTGTCTCTAACGCAACGGACAGTCAGAGCTTTTTCCGTCTCTGGCTCATTTGGGGTACCTGGGCATCTGGAACACAAACGGTACCCGCCGAATGTTTCCACATCACGGAGGCTCCATCGCCGTGTGGAATGCTCCAGTATGAACCGGGGGCACGTTTAGGGCTATGACTGGTAACTGTTACCACCCCCCACCCTGGGATACCCTAAGAATAACATCCACTCCTGTCCTTATACAGTCCCTGACCATACAGAAGGGGAAAAACGCAAGAAAGGAACAGAAAAACAAAGCCATGTTTGGACTGTAGAAGTTCATCGTCAACAAGTACAAGTTCATCAGAAGTATGTCAGCTAGACATTTATTATTAATAATAATAATAATAAGATACTTTATTGATCCCTGTGGGGTAATTGTCTTGACGTCTCTCTCAACTTGCTCCGTTTTGTAGAGTAAGTTGTGGAGTACGTTGTCCTAATTAGTCTAATTAGTTTAGCATGGTTGAGATGTGTCAACCCGAAAAGAAGTGGACATCCCTCTTTATGAGGTCATGAAGCAGGCAAAAGAATGACATCAGCCACAAGTGAGAGCATAGTCAGCTGGGGGCCGTTCCCCTCCTTAAGACTCGGGCTCCGCTATGGTCACTGAGCAGCTTGGCATTACGCACCACGAGTCCGGATGGGCCAGCAGGACGCGTCTCAGCCTCCAATTTGGAACGGGACCATTCCGGCATGCTGATCTGCCAGCCCTGGCTAACGGGAGAAAACCCACTGACAACAGACAGTGTTATTTACCAGCAGAATTAAGAAGGGAAGTAAGACGTCAACTGTGTCCAATCACAGTGTTCCAGACCACAGCTGCGCCGACACCTGCAGTCTGTTACCAGCGCATCTATCGCCAACGACAACGTCTTATATGGCTGTGCGAGAGCAGGAACACTGGCATGGTGAGGTGCTCCACGCAGCGGAGGAAAACAGGCTGTCCTCACCCCTCCAGCTCCTCCCAACCGGACTGAGGGGAGCACACTTCCTGGGGGGCTTAGCAGAGCAAGTCACGGAAGTGATCAGAGGGCACATCTAGAAACGCCAAGGCCAGAGCGGCCCGGAGCAGGAGTGACTATTGGCAGCGCATGCGTACGCTGCCGTGACCACATCTCCGAGGCCGTGCGGTGGGATCCTCCCACACAGCTTCACGCCACGACCAAGGCAGCCCCTGCTCCTTCGAGACGGATCACACAGCGCGGGATCTAGTTATGGAGGGAAGGGAAAAAATATACCAACACCAAAGGAAGCTCCCGGCTGCAGGGAAAAAAAACAGCTGGATACAAGGGACAAAGCAAGACGCTGGAATTAAACACACAAGAAATGTACAAGTGAATTTTGTTTTTAAGTAACAGGGATGGAAGCTTCATGGCTAAGAGTGATCAACAGGAAGTAATCTGCCAGTTTTCATTATGTTTGCACACTCACTTCCTGTGGTGAAATTGCAAACATCACGATCACACGCAGTTCAGCACACTGACCCCTGCAGCCACATCGGCAGCGTATCTTTGCCCAGATCGTACCTTCCCAGAATTCCTTGGGACTGTACATAATGCATCTCTCACAGGCCTGACTGGAAGTCAGCGAGTGGCTCTTCTTGCATTCCTGGGTTTGATAACCCGAAATATCTGGAGGCATGGTGTTCAGAACATGGAGTGCGACAAACACAATTATTCCCCTCAGTGACCCCCACCAAGCACCACCATGGGGAGCGAACAGTGACAAGCAGCTTGTCAGATGTGCCCAGAACCTATCTGGGGGGGGGGGCATCCCTCTCTGGATATGGAGAAGTATGTTTTTGAAAAGTTAGTAAGATCCTGGTACAGTCCCCAGCTGGTCATGTTAGTTGGGTGGGTCAGGTAACTTAATTGGATCCTCACGTATTGTTCTCAAGCTTCATCTGCTGTGATTTGAGCCCCTGCAGGGCTGTGGGTGGAATCGAGTGCATTCTCCTCAAATGGAAGTCCAGCGAGCATAATGAGATTAAGCTCGCGTTTTGCCGAGGTATTATCATGGTCGTTATTTAGCCAACGTGCTACATGCACCGCTAAGATCCACATAGGCTACTTCAGAAAGAAAACAGCGGGCTCTTCACAAATTATGAGAGTGAAGAACATGTCGCTGTCAGTGTCACACTAAAGGTATGAAAACGATAAATGCAGACATCACCGACAGAACAAAAGTTACCTTGGCATTGGAATCCTTGCTTTCCAAAACCCCTGCAAAAAAATGGCAGAGAGAATACAGTTCAGTTAAACGCTCACTGTCGTTATATGTATAGTACAAGTATGTAAATCAATTTTCATCCTGCTCTTTAACCAAAGCTGATTTATCACTTAAAAACCACGGAGAGACCCTCGATCACATAATTTGCTTAATATTTTCTCGTGACTCCCCAGGGATAATATTACGTTCCAAATAAAACAATTAATAAATAACAGAGGACAAATAACAGCGGAGAATGTTCTGCTGCCTCGGGAGCCAGACTGTGATTTGCGTCTTGTTTGGACAAGCCCACTTTGGGACTCCAAGCACAGCGAAACGGAACAGCTCAAGCAGCGTGCGAGAACTAAACAGAAACCTTTTTATATTACACTCCTACAGGAAAGGCGGAGCAAGGCGGCCTTAAAACTGAATGTGACATTGGGCACTGTTAACAGAAACTACTAATTAGGTTGCTAATTGCGTTTAGACAGAACTTCTGTCTCATAATAAACAAACAAACAAATGACAATAAACTTTCCTACATCGGACACACACGTTTTTTTCCCACACTGATAAAAAATTCTTTTTGACAGAGGACTCTTTATTATGGGATTTATTTAATTTCATATTTATAAAAGCTCACTGGATCTATTAATTCCTTTGACGCCACCAGTACCCGCGCGTTCCACACACCTCCGTCAAGGCGGATTCATTCCCGCAGGGACGCGGGTGTCGGATCGCGGGGAGGAACAGTGCCCGTTCCCCAACGCAAAGTGTCTAACTCGTCGGGAAATATTATCCAGCTCCGTGTGCACTCGGTACACCTCAGTCTGGCGGAAGACGATATGCTGGTACCGTACTTCACATTTTCCTACATTCGAAGCAGCGCAGTAATGCTGTACATTCTGTACGGCCCTACACCAAATCCAAGAACACCCGTAAATTCTCTTTTGTTATAATGCAACTATCTAATTTTCATGATCAAATATTACGATAAATATATCACAGATAATAAGCTTATTTTTTTCGTGCATTGTATAGTTTTATTCTGCACAATCAACTTGTTTTGAAGGAATTCCTTTTATGCTTCTAAAACCATTTTAGGACCTTCTTTGGTGCTGTGAAAATGTACCCGGGCAGCTGGCTGCAATACGACAAACATTTAAAAACATTAATTGTCATCGATTCCATGGAATTTCCTTGTCAGTTGCAGTAAATCCAGAAAAAAGGTGCAGCACGTCAACGTAGGACTATAGAATACTATGTCCACTTCAATGGTAATAATGTTGTAATAACCTAATAGGCATGACTTTCTGTTATAAGTACATTCCTTATTTAATGGTCCAGATATAGTGGGTTAGTAGTTGATTGTGCTCTTTGAAGACAGGTAGCCAAATAACGCAGATTTAGCATTTCATCAACAGTTTTTGAAGAGCGCGGTGGAGACACTTTTAAATATACGTTTTCATTGTCGACACACATAAAAGCATTAATGGCATGTTTATATTAACTAATCAACAAGATATTTTAAAGTTTCTGAAGCGTTTAGAAAATGACACGTTATTTTTGATCACACTTGCAAGAGACCCAGTCAAACATGTCTCTTACCAGATGAAGTCTGTGCAATGGCTACAGAAAGTCGGCTGCTTGAAAAACCTGGCAGTAAATTTGTGGTTCTTAACTTCGTGGATGTTTTTCTGCCTCAGAGCACCTTTGCGGGCAAACCGGTTCGCAATTCCACCTGAAGACGCCTCGTTAAAATGTATGACATCGGCCATATCCGAAGAGAAGTAGTGTCCTCGGTCCTCGCTCTGTGCGATGCGCTTTCCGCCGATTTTCAAGCTGTCTCTGTTATTAGCGCAATGAAGGTGCGCTCCTAATTACTCCACAGGCTTCCCCTCTCTGTTGCCTCTACACAGCGATCCTTCTTTCACTCCGCGTGACGTCAATACGCTTCATTCCCTCAAAGGATCACCGTCCCCTTCAAAAACCCGTCAGTGAGGCACGCCACCATGCGGCATAGCGGGGTAAATGCCCGAAATACTGGCTTTCTGAACTTTGCGCAGGGTTTCACGTGATAAGCAACATATGTAATCATTTTAAAGGAATCATTTTGCCACGTTGAAGTAATGAGTTTCTGCCCGATGTGTAAGACTATAGTCCTTGGTGACATATTGAAAGCTGATCTAGGTAAACATATTACAAAATAATTAAGTTACGAGACACATTCCTCAAATAAACATGAATAAATCAAACCTAAGAAAACATGATACCGTAGCTAAATGTCTTAATGGCAGCCAACAGCAGGGATACGTATGTGAAGAAACGCATTCTTCATAAAACATAGAATACACTGCCTTCCCCTCAATGTGCCACAATGGGGAGACAAACATTTAAAAAATGATCGGTTTCAACTGCACATTATACAGCCAGAAACCCCGTTTCCAAAACATGGAAATACATAAGTGTTCTTGAAAGAAAACTTATATATATATATGTGTGTGTGTATTTTTTTTATATTTGTGTATATATATATATCAAATGTCATATATGTATGAATCTTAAGACAAGTGCAATAACAGAGCTGCGGCATGCATTGATTAAATTTTTTAATTGGCCTATTTTAAAGAAACCACTATCAATGTTCCCAAAATGCTGGTTGATTATTAAATTTCCCGTTAGTTAAACTATGATTATACATCAGAATAGGTGCCTTGTTTATCATCACAATAATACTCAAATCTACCGATTGGTGGAGACTGCAGGTTTATTTCTAGGATAATTGCTATGGAGATTTCAGACGCTTTCCCTGGTGGAAGCGGAAGTGACGTAAGGCCTATGCTAGTCGAAGATTGAACCGTTTAAATCTGACAACAGAGGAAATCCGCGCTCTGAAGTAACTGTTTATTATTAATGTCATTTAATTTGATAGTAAATACGTTATAATGTCAAATGTTGTATCAGTATAATCGTGTTCATTATTTTGTAAAATCAGCTGAAATTGACATTTAAGTTAACTAAATGCAAAGGTAGCTAATTAGCTATACATGTTAGCTAAATGTAGTTTGCGTGATATACTTCTTTACGACACCTACTAACATGTTAATATTTTTTTAAAAATAGGTTTATGTACTATTTCAAATGTAGCTATCTGTTAAATGCACAATGAAGTTAACGAAGTTTTTGTTTGCGTTTGTTTGTTTCAGGGGCTAGGCAACCAGAACTTTATCGGAAGTTCGCTATGAGTCGAATATAAATGGTTTATATACAGGAAAAAGGTTTATCATGTTCACCTTTAATTAGGACAGAAACAAATCAGACGCTGTGCTGTGTACTTTAATTATTGTAGGTGAAAATGAGTAGATTAGTGGAGAATACCTACGAGAAACTGGACTCGGAGTTTGATCATCACCTCGTCGATGTGAAACCGTATGTACTGAAACTGCCTCACAAATCAGGTAAAGTATTAATCGTGGTCATCTAATCCCTATAGCTGTACCATAGCATAACTTGCTATTTGTTTTTTATTCAGAGTCTGTTCTCTGTATTAAATTCCTATTCTGTGTCTAATGCTTGACATTTGCTAGGCCTTGAATTGCTCACATTCCAGACACTGCTTGTTGCCTATTTTACCCCAAAAATCGAAGTATTGATTTGTAGTTTTGTTCTTGTACTGGTTGACATGTGAATGGGCGGGGACAAACAGACCGGCAGCGCTGTGCCTTGTGGATCAAGAAGCTGTGCGATCCCTTGCTGATTGGTTCTGGCACGACGGGACGGAAGAATCGGAACATGTACGCCAAACTGCTCCTGCACATGCTGAAAAGGGGACTTCTGGAGGGACCGTTCACTCACAAACCGGAGCCTGGTGCTCTTAAGACGCTGCCGACGTACATGGTGAGCGGCTTTTTCGTATTTGACGCTGACAGCCATTATGCGTATCAGATAACATCTGTAGAAATAATCGCACGTGTGGAGTTTATTTTGGCTTCATTCGCAACACAGCTTAAAAGATTTTTTTAAACAAGGATAAAGACATAACAAAAATATAACATAGCACAAAAATATATGACTCAAAAGCATGTAATGCAGTGTAGAAAAAGCTGGTAGAATTGCAGAGTGAGGCATCATTACATACACTTGAAATGTAAATATGATGTCATGATTTTCCTTTTTCAGCTTGTGCATTGTGTGTAGAATAAGTGTGTTGTTTAGCGTGGCGATAGCACTAAAAAGATGATAAGCCTACTTCACAGTAGCGTTATCTCTTTAAAGCCAGTCAGCAAAGATAAGACGGGTCAGACCTGGTCCTATCAACAGATAAACTCACGCTATCACTTTGATATCTTTGTATCGACTCAATAGAATCGATGCGTTAGTGACTTGTTCGCATTTGTGAGGCGTTTGTATGAGTTTCCGGCTTCCTTTCTACTCATAAACCAGTTTGGCCACCAGAACATTTAGGAGGACGTTCATCATCTTTGATCTGTTTCCAGTCCATCTACTTTGATGAGCCTCTTCGTGGGGAATCTCAGGAGCAGAGTGCGACAGAACTGCCCTCCTGGGTGTCCGGGGAGCTGGGCCTCACTGATAGCCCCTGGACCTTCCAGGCCAAGGAGAGACCTCTGCCTTCCACATCATCCCCACGCCCGCACAGGTAGATTTCCACTCATTTGTTTCTGTGGAATTGGAACTACGGAGTGCTCGTCATATCCCTGGGGTGGCTGGTTGTGTTGTGGCTTGAAGGATTCATTTCAGTGCTTTATAAGAAGGACTTATCACATTTGGCAACCTGGTTTTTATGTCACATTTAATCTAACAGCAAAATTGTTCCTCAACCCATCCATCCATATTGTGGCCTCACATTAAGTACAGAGGGATGTGGATCTGGAATGTGACCCAGGCCATAAGACCCCCTGGCACACCCTGGACTGCACATCACATGGAGCGCACACACATTCACACACCATGAGCAATTTTGAAAGGAAGGAAGCCAGTAGTAGAGGCTTTGGGTTCTCCAGCCCAGAGGTTTGGAGCTACCCTCCAGGTTACACCGATGAAGAAACTGTTACACACTGGAGCTGTCTTATTTAAAAGGAGCTGTTTAGTAATGAAGTGGTGGCCTAACATGCCCAAATTGCTTCCACTTTTAAGTGGTTAAGGAAAGAGAAAAAAAAATCACAGCTTGCCGTTTTTAGGATTGTACACCAGATGGCGCCTTTTCCTTGGCTTGGGCATTCTACGCCTCCTGGGGATTGTGGAAAAAGTGTAGTCTGGAAAAATCAGCGAAACTAGTGGGTCAATGCGATCACTCAGTGCGACTTTGGCAAAGCGTATGTGCTGGATCTAAGTGCTTATGTGCCACTTAAGGGCTAAACATAAATATGCATTACTCTGGTTTGACAGATTGTTTGTTTTGCCTGGCGTGCGGCTCCGTGTAGGAGGAAAAGTCACTGAAAGTCACAGGAAGTGCTTCAGCGGTATCTCACCATCTACTGGGTTCACTGGAAAAGGACAGTAGATTTTAACGTCATCATAACCCCCTCCCCCGAAAGAGGTGGGCAGTTAAATCTGTGGTTTGGATAAATCCAACAGTCTACTGTTCCAAACCAAAACCCCACGTTTTCTTATCTTGATTTTTGTGTCAGTCTGCGAGTTTGGGACTGATGAGTGACTGCCTGGTGTCATTTTCCTGGGGCTTGAGGCAGGCCGGCGTTCAGCTGCTGAAAGGTGCTGAAGACTGTTAATTCGTCTGATGCTGTGGCTCTGAATTTCTGCATTTAAATTGCTGTCAATCAGGGACTTCCTTCCTTAATCCGGCGTGCCTCTCAGTTGGATGGACACTGTGCCTGTGATCGGAAGGTCGCTGTTTCAGTCCCAGAGTTGGCGGAGTGGTTTCACTGTTAGGCTCATGAGCAAAGCTAAATTGGCACTAAATTTCTCCAGGTACGGGCTGATCCTGAGTCAGAAAAGTCTTAGATGATGCTCTGTGCGTGTCTGCTTACAGGAGAAGACACACGTGCGGAGACAAGCTGACATCCCGGACACAGGCCACAGCGACTCCGCTGCACACCAGCAACGGGGAAGAGCGCAGAGTGAGACCTTTTTCAAGGGTTTGGGGGTTGTGGTGGGGGGGCACTTCATCATACATGACAAGGTAGTCCTGGGAGATGGTTGTGTTGTGTATAAGGAACAGGATGGTCTGTTTTATTGATGAAAGGAAAGGTGGGGTTTGTACCAAAAGTCCCTGATGATCACGGTCTAAAGGACTCTCACTAATCAGCTGCATCCTTTCAAAGCAACACACTCGGGCCTAGTGCCTTCTGGGAGAAGCAGCCGGCTCTTTGACAGGCCTCCCCCATCCATTTTACATTCAGCGCACCCCTAGATAATCTCCCCGGCCCAGGCAGGGCTGAGCCCCTCTCAGACCCCTAGCCGACCTAGCGGGTGGCCTGCCGGGGGGGTTAAGGAGCTGGACCTGTGACCGGAAGCTTCTGGATTTACACTCCAGAGGGTGTCACATGCGTTCGGTCTTTCTCCAGAGTCACGGACACCGAAATCCGGGGGTGTCGTCCGACGACAGTGACCTTGAAGCACGCCTCAACAGCTGGAATCTTGGGGTATGTTGGGAGGCCTCTTAATTTTAAACATGGAACAGCGGATACAATAAAAACAGTGGTATTAGTGAGTTAGCTGTTTGGGCTAACAGCTACTGCAGAAGAGGAGATCATTTGTGTGGAGGTACATATTCATTTACTGGCCTTTCTGTTGGGGATTCTTCTCCATGCGTGACGCTGCTGGCTGGCTGCGGAGTCACAGATCGTCTGGCTGGTAGTATTGTCATTCTCTATCATCGCACCATTAAGCACCACAAAATAACACAAAATCAGCTTCTGAAGGTTCATTCAATAATCGATCAGTTTTTTTCAGCTACGTTTGTTTCTTCCGTTTGTCGGACATTATAAATGCATTGAGAAAGCGTTACACCTGAACTCACTGGCGATAATGGCCCCGTAAACATGGGCCTTGGAAAAGAACTGAGACAGTTTTGCTTTGTTCCCTTCACTCTTTGTGTTTGGCTTTATGGTCGAGTGGAGAGGTCGCTTTCCCTAAAAGCTAATTTCACTCAGATAGAAATGGTAAATAAGGGTGCATAGGGGAATCCCCACAGAGCCAGCCTGGATCAGAACTTGTGAATGGATTGTTCTCTTGTTTATGTAAACTGATCTAGGCGATCCTAAGTACTGGAAGTGAGACGTACAGGACGACAGTTTGTCGGTTTCTATTTCACAGTCAGATTTCCTTGTTTGGATGCACTCGATGTTTGGAAAGTGATATGCCAAAGGGCTTAATTTGACTTATATATGTATACATAATATATAGCATATATGTTTTTGAACAGCACACATGGCTAAAAGCAGCTACATACACACACACACACACACACACACGTATGCAAGAATGAATTGGCGAGACAAATTTTACTGTCAGCCGTGTCATATAGCACATATGGGTTTGTAAGAAGGCCCAGAGTGAACCACAGTGAGCGTGAGCATCGTATGGCTTGTGTTAGAAACATAACTGTGTGACACTGACAGTACAAGTCTGTCCCCTTCGCAGTCGGTTTAGTTCCAACAGATGATGTGTTGCATGTAAATAATTTTATTAATGTGCATGTGTGTATGAGCTGTAAACTGTTTTCTTTCTCGTTTTGGATATTACGTCTTGCATGACTAGGAAAGACCGTATCTTAGGAGGCATGATATGGAACTACACAGCCTTTTCGTTAAGTACTGTGATAGGGCAGTGATCTTAGCTAGAGTAAAACATTTGCCATAATTGTTTAGCGATAAAATATTATCATTTTTAAGTATAGTTTTTCATTGATAATTTTTGTTTGTTTGTATGTGGTGGGAGTGTGGTTTGCACCAGAGTGTGGCTTATAGTGGCTGTGGTTTGCAGCAAGGTGTGGATTATAGTGGGTGTGGCTTATAGTGGCTGTGGTTAGCAGGAGGGTGTGGCTTAAGGTGGGTGTGGTTCATGATGGGTGTGGCTTATAGTGGGTGTGGTTAGCAGGAGGGTGTGGCTTAAGGTGGGTGTGGTTCATGATGGGTGTGGCTTATAGTGGGTGTGGTTTGCAGCAG